TAGCGGCCACTACAGTTTTGAACAGTTTCAACCTGCGTTCCTGCGAACACAGACTTTCAACACACTTGTAATCCACAGAAGGATATGCCAGCACTGGACTATGGCGATTCCAGAGTCTCGCTGGAAAATTTCATCAGAGTCCGGGTTCTCTGGTCTGCAATCGCTTAATAAGCGCGAGGACCTCCTGGCTTCATATTCGGTGCTTAGACATTGTTTGGACAAGGTAATTAGTCACGCGGAGTCGAAATGCTGGGCAAAGGTTTCCGTGAGTATCTGCCCACATTGCTGAGTCGTTATCATGGTGAGAATCGAGAACGGTTACACAATTTCGACATTTGACGACTGGGACGCTGTCTAAAGAGCAACCAACGCGTCATGTACGACCACAAGAGATAACTATGGAATCTGCTAATTTGTGGCTGCATGGCAACTGCATCCTATGAATACTGCATCCCTGGCACTCCCATCACCCTTAACTGCGTTTTCCTTTGATGATGAGTTCGAGCTAGAATCTGAACCGTCAGACCAATAAGCTGGACAAAAGTTCCAGTGACAGGGACCCACACAAATGAAACATTATCACGCCAGAAATCGAGAACGGCTATAAAACTTCGATATTTAACGACTCGGACGCGGTCTAAAGACAGTGATCAATAGGACTAAAAATGCAAGCAAGATCTAAATATATGACAGCGGTCACGATCAAACTCAGTCAGGACATGTTAGTTCAGGTATTGATAGAATCGTGCGTAGATTGAGGCAGTGCCCTATGGACCGTCTGTCTGTAGACGCCTTAAAGTTGTTTGGCCGACAACCGGACTGCCATTAGCAAGCACGCACAAGTACGCGCGAGAGGCGCAATTTTGCAATAAGAGCCAAAAGTAGGACCGACAACAGTTCAACAGTTGATTCCGCGCTTTCCACGGTGTGCTCTATGGCGTGGTGATTGTGCAGAGACAGTGACTTGTGCATGGCTTAGTTTAATTAATAGTTGACTTGCGGTCAATCTGTTACACTCTCTCTTCCCACCTGCCCGAGACTGGTGTCAAGGAGGAGTTAAGAGAATTGGAGACGGGATCGGGGAACACCTGGCCGGAGGCGCCAGTCCGGATTCAGATCCCGCAGAGTAGGAATGGCCAACAGGCCATGAAGGGGATGGTGCCTGAGCCTGCACCTACGCGTGCTACCAACGCAACCTTCACCCCCTGGTCGTCATTTGTGATGCGAACGCAACCTGAATAATGCCTACAATGCGGTGTCTGTCTAGCGCAGTTACCACGCAGCAGAGGGACAACAAGTCAAAGTACGACCAATTCACCTGACACACCAGGTGTCTAAATGCGACGACAATAATAAAAACCGATTGTACTTCATCGCCGTTACTTACGCGTACTATGAAGTAAATTGGATTTCGAATGTGCATACAGGACAAAGGAAGTTGTGCAAGTTATCTCCAAACCTATGACGTGGACATATTGATCATGCAACGGACAGCTGACCGAATCTGCCTGCTTAAATGACTTAAGTAGGTACATAAATTCGACTTGTACTTTAAAATTTTAACACAACGGTCTGCCCTTCCTGTGACTGGCCGTATTAGAGTGTCTGCAGGCACTACACTGAAAAAAGCAGAAGTCTAATACTTTAAGAAACATATTGCTAAATCCGGGTTCAGGATGAAAACTCTCTCTTTCCCACAATATTATATTTTCTGACTTTCCTATCCATAGTACGAAATGGGATGCCTTGAAGACAAATTGAACTGTGACAACGCCTGGATAAATGTAACTGCAATTCACATAAAGATGCCAGGCTCCTACCAATTCTGGGAACGGCTGCCACAGGTGAGTCACTAATTTATGTCCTTTAGTTCTGAACCAATATGCTTTAAAATCAGTACTGAAACTTAAGAAAGCAGGCCTTTTATTGACTTCTCACACTCGTAGTCCCATAATCATTTTAATCAACTAAATCTCTTTTTCCTAGCAGGTAAACTAACTTTAAAAAAGTTGCATTCAATGTAGAAGTCATTATAACAATTCTTGCGTTCCTGCTGTTCTGAAACCATGATTCGACCAGCAATTAAGTAGAATAGAACATGCTAGTGATTACAACATAACAGCATCTAGAGAATTCCCGAATAACCAGACAGCCTAAATGACCCAAATTCTTTGCGACATATATATATAACTTCGGGAAGCGCTTGTGCAGGATTCCTTATCTCAGGAAATGTCAACGAAATTCTGAAATGCGTTTTCAGTGCGAACATAATACTGTAATAGGGTTGTTACTCTAAGTCTCGTGCAACGCCAATTCAAGATATTTCAGTCACGCCAGGATGACTGCACCTGAAAGTAATCCATTTTGACTGTCTGCAAAAGCATGCCATTTAAATAATTTGCTACTTAATTCATATGATCTTTTCCTCAATAATTGTTGATGTCCCTATAAATTCAAATATAGCATATAGATGACATGCAGAGAATTATTCCTTCTTGTACTCGTTCGGTAGCAATTTGCGGCTTCAAAATCCATGTATAAAGAAAGGCTAGCTATGAATTTGAAAGAAAAACCTTCTAAATTTCCGATTAATTATAAACTCTACAGGCCTTTAAATAAAAAGTTTCCAAACTGTACACCACACACATTCTGTCGAAAATAAAGTAAAAATTCCTCTTCGAACAAGGCAAAGATCACACAACTAGCAGAATT